ATATGTTTGTAACTGTGTTTTGGGTGGAGAGAGAGAGAGAGAGAGAGATGTTTTAATAAATAGTTTTTTTTTTTTTTTTAAATGGGGATATATTTTTTTAGCTGCAAAAATGGTCCCTTATAAGTGAAAAGACAAATATATCCTCATGTGGGAGGCACATGAGGGGGTTAACATCAATAACTTAACGGGAGTTAAATCGGGGGACCAATTCTACGTACAAATTAGGTCAAAATGACCATAAATCCAAAAAAATCAATGTTTGGACTGAAAACCCAAAAAAATGCATACCACAGTGACGATTTTTGCAATTTTGTCTTTTATTTAATAAAATTAGTATTATGGTAGGTCTTGTCAACATGAAGAGCTTCAGGGACCAACTTTGCCATTTTCAGAAACATGGATATGTTTCTTCTCTTCAGCGACACAACCGCAATAGAGGATGTGTCGTTTTCTGTTGTTGAACCTGCAAATAAAAGTTCCAGGGAAAATTATTTGATCCTTAACCTAAGATACTCTCATCGGTCGTTTTAAAGGAGGCATCACTCAAAATGGTTGAAACCGGGAGTGAAAGAAATGGAGAGAAAGAACGGTAAGGCAAGGGTAGATTAGGAAAAAATTCACAACCAACGATTTTTCTCAGCTTTCTCGCCCAGACTTCTCTTACCGAGTCAGCCATCCTAATTTGGTTTAACAAACAACCTCAGTTGACCGAGTCAGCCAAATACGTCTGACCTAACTCGATCAGACGTATATCAAACAACCCTTTAGTTGAGAAAGTTTGTATTATTCTAACAAATTGAACGATATAGTCATTCCAAGTAGTTTAAGTTTTACTTTTGGACGTCAAAAGAAATGTATGTTTGTTAGTCAAATATTTAACATTTCTCTGTACAACACCATGCTATTAAGTATACATATTAAAATATTAGAAAAAACACTTTAATACGTTATAGTATGAAGTATAATTATTAAAATATTAAAAAAAATAAGAAAAAAAAATACTTCAATACATTAAAAAAAATTAAGAAAACGGTTGTCATTTGTAATCAGTATTATACCATTAGTTAAAAAAAAAAAAAAAAAAAAAAAAAAAAAAAAAAAAAAAAAAACATGTTTTCAGTGAATGATGAAAGAATTTTTCATTCAACGACACATAGTCTTTAGGCTACTTGGTACGGGGCTAAACGCTATGGAGAGCACCTAGGTGGCCACTCATTGACGTTGTGGTCACGTCTGAAATACCACCCCAACCTCATATCCCGTCTTCTGCTTTCGAAAATGAAACACAAAAGAACGTCCTGTGAAGGACAGGCAACGGTCATATGACCATTAAACTCTCATTTTTTCTTAAATACGTTAAAATATTATTCTTTTTTTAATCTATAATTACATATATATTTATTAATTATTTTATTTACATCATTTCATCTCTTCTTTCTAATACACAATTACACAAACTACAAATTTAGAATCAAAACCCAAAGCCTTCTCCACCAAACCCAAACCCACAAAAAGTCATACATATTTATCATTTTCTTTAAATCATTTCATCTCTTCTTTATATTACACAAATAGGAAAACTATATAATAGAATCAGAACCCAAACATGCTACTATGCAAACCTCATCATTACGCACATTTATTTATAAGTTAAACAACTTTTAACATTAAAATTAGTGTAACAACAAATAAATGTTTAGTCGAAAGTAACTTTTTATATTATATCTAAATTTTAACTATTATATATTTTCTATTTCTTTTAGTTTAAAAGATTTATTATAGATTAATTAGATGACAAGTTTTTTAAATTATTTAATCTAAATATTTTAAAATCATATTATTATTATTATTATTATTATTATTATTATTATTATTATTATTATTATTATTTGCTTTTCACGTGTCTTATTCATATGGTAAAATAATAAAGTTTTATAAATTATTATAGTTTTTTTTTCAAAATAAAATTATTTAGTTAATTGTATTACACCAAAAAGTTTAATATGCAATATGCAATATGCAAAAAGTTTAAAATTATTTAGTTAATTGTATTACACCAAAAAGTTTAATAGGTTTTATTGGCTAAAAAAGGAAATAATATGCAATATGGAAGGAACCATCGCTCGTATTAGGCCACAAGTTGTGCAGCGGGAAAAGATTGGAGGGAAAGTTCCTCTACCCTAAAACACTATACCGTGAGTGAGGGAAAATAGCCACAAGTTGTGCAGCGGGAAAAGATTGAAGGGAAAGTTCCTCTACCCTAAAACACTATACCGTGGGTGAGGGAAAATAGTGAGGCGGGGTCTATCTTCATCGTCTCTCCTCATGTGATTGGTCGTTTTTTTTTTAGTTTTTTAAATATTTATTAAATTATATATCTACTAAAAAATTATTAAAAAAATATATTAAAAATCATGGTTTTTAATTCCATATAAAATAAGTATAATATTCGTATAAAATATATTTTTTCTAAAAATTAATAAAACATGAAAGATTCTTTTCATATATACCTTAGATTTTGGTGAGGAAAAGAAAAATAAGAAGAATATTGATAGACGAAATGAGGTGAAGGATTATTCTTGTCCAGGCCATTGGGTCTTAGCATTCTCCGGTTGCCATTGTTCATAAGCTTAATTGGTCAAATAAAAACAAAAATCATAATTGTCTGAAATTAAAATGAAAATCGTGAATAACTCAAAATTAGGAAAGATAAACCCATTCATACTCCTGTTTTCCATTTATTAATATTGTTGGTATACACGTCATGTTTGTATTTGTCATCTTTCATTATTAAAAAATATAAAATATATACGTGTTTATTAATATTTATAAATTATCGTTACTTAATTAATTAGATGTTTTTAGTAAAAAGCAAATATAAAAGTAATGTTAATCATTATAAATTAAATGTAAACAAATAATATTTTGAAAAAAAAAATCAAAAGTAATAAATAATTATTATGTAATCATTACTTAAAAGATATTAAAAATCATTTATTATTAAAAGAAATGATTAGTTGTTTATTTAGCTAAATGAAATGTCACGCCGACCCCTAAATATTAATATCTTTTATTGTTATCTTATTCTTTTCCTTTTTGATAGTATATTGTAATGAAAAAAGCATAGGATTCTTGTCCAGTATCCATGCGACAAATAATTAGCACCTTTAAAAAGAACCTTCTTAAATCATATATAATTGTCATTCTTTATTATATTTAGGACCTACTATACTTGTGATTTTGTTACTAAATAGAATTATCAGGGTCGTTATTTTCTATATGCGTAGTCAGCCTCTTTTCTCATCCGTTCGTAAGAAAAAATTATTTTAATTCCTCACCGTTTTTTTTTTTTTTAATTGTTCTCTCAATGTTTTAAAAACTGGTTTGAGTCGGCCCTGTCGAGCCGGTTGGACCGGGCACCGAAAAAATGAACAGTTCAACGAACACCAGTTTTATGTTTATTTTTGAACTGTCTAAATTAAACCGATTAGATTAAATAAAAACATACGGAAATGAATTATTTCCATAACAAACTTTGGGTTCTTTTTTACATCTATTTGGATTTTCTTTAAATAAAAACACATGGTAAATTATATAAAGGTTTTTAATACGTTTGTATTTATCTAAAACTATATTTTGTTTCCGTATTATACTTTATTTTATTTTTGATATATATGGATTGATATAAACCTTATGGTTATATGTTTTTAATATATTTGAATTGATTTTCAACATGTATTTATATGTATTTTTAATGTTTAAACTTGTAAATATCTATGTATGCGTAAAAGAATAGAAAAAATATGAAAGCTATAGAAATTTGTTACACTGACGGTCGAATTAAACGGATTGAACCGGAAACTGATCATTGGTTTCGCTTGTATAAACTATAAAAATGATTGATGTGTAAGAAAGTTAAACCATGTTGAATAAAAAAATCATAAAACAAAAAATAAATTAGTTTAGAAAAAGAAAGTGTGCATATATTATAAAACTAAAAGAATAAAGTGGTAGAAGAAAGGAATAAAAAAGGCTAAAAGCGAGAAGACAGTGCAGGAAGATCCAAGAAATACGCAAAGAACCACGCTTGCAACTCTGACCATTATTCCCTCGTCACTCGTCACTTATCCCTATTTTACAACCATTTTTGCGACTCAAAACCACTGCACCAAACTTCCTTCTACATTTTTTTTAGTTTATTTGATTTAATATATGTAACAGAAAAGATATCAAATATTATATATCAACAATTCTGTTTGATTTAGCTGGATCACAATTTAATAAATTTATTATTTAAAAATATTATGATTTTTAGTGAAAAGAAAAAAAACTCTTTTCTTTCCATATGATAACTTTCAAGTTTATATATATCTTAGTCAATGATAATTATTATTAAAAATAATAAAAAATCAAAATGGTTCTTTAAGTTTTTTTTTTTTTTTTTTTTCTGGCCTTTCTTACTATACATCCTATTAAAATTTAAAGGGATAATGTCACTGTAGCACAACTAACTTTTATGATTTGTCCGACTTGACCAATTATGTTTTTTTCTTGCGCATTAGGTCATATAACTTTTACTGTACATGTCAATTAGGTTATTATCATTAGGTTTTAACCATTTCTCCGTTAACTAGTTATCTAAATTACATGAATGACCCTTATAGTTTAAATTTCATTCGTAATTGGTTGTTATCAGCCATGTTTTAAATCACATGATTAAAACTACTACAATTTTGAAACTCTAGGGGCCAAAGTGTATCATTGAATACCTTGTAAGCATTAATCTCTTGGTCGAGTTCTTTCTTAGTTCCCTCTGATTTGAACTTGAGCTTGCTCTTGAATTTTGTTTTTTCGGTAAATTGGGTTTTCAGATTGCCGAAGCTTGAATTTACCCATCTTGTAGCTTGATTACTCCTTTCTCTTTCTAATTCGAATTCTCCATCAAGGAATACAAACTCATATTTACGCTCGATGAGACTTTATACTTCACAGTTACAGCATTAACATCTGTATGATCCAACCAGAGATATATTTGCATCCATAAGCCAAAAGGAGATACCATTAGCAACCTGAAGCCTAGCTGGATGGTTTTTGTTATTTAAAAGAATCACTAGAAGCGGAGTGAAATTGATATTATAAGTAAGAAGATCAAAAGCTCCAATGGAGACAACAGGCTCCCAAAATAGAGGATTGATTCCACCACTGAATATCACCGGGAAAGGAACCACTGATCCGATTAATTGACCGCCAATCGTCACCAATACTTCACGGTATGCTCTGTGAGCTCTTATGGTGGCCAAATGGTTGGTTTCTACATACGAATCTAAAGGATTCATGTACCAGAATTCATCTTCTCCATGAAACGAAACATATAATTCAAGCAACGCTTTGTAAGTCTTTGAGAACTTTGAAGATTAACAATTTAGGTACATGAATCGTTCAGATTCGGTAAAACCACATCTACTGGCTTATTATACGGAAACAACAAATTTAAAACTTAACCGAAAGTAACCTGGTAAACCCAAACGACGAGACCTGAAACTGAACTTAACCTCCTTTCGACTGAATGATCGAAGTCGAAATTAGGTAGCAGGATTTCGATGGTTTGATCCTTCAAGTTCCCGTAGGTCCTCCTTTCGACTGAAGATATGGAAATTTTGGAAAATTCTCTCAACCTTTCAAATCGATTTTGAAGGAGCGTTGGTTAAGTTGGGATATGAAAGAACTTAAGGAAGACGATGACAATGTTACACTTTGGTCCCCCAGAGTTTCAAAATTATGGTAGTTTTAGTCGTGTGATTTAAAACATGACGGATAATGACCAATTACAAATGAAAATTAAACCATAGGGACCATTTGTGTAATTTAGATAACTAGTTAACGGAGGAATGATTAAAAACTAATGATAATGACCTAATTGACATGTATAGTAAAAGTTAGATGTCTTAATGCGTAAGAAAAAACATAATTGTTCAAATCGGACAAATCACAAAAGTTGGTTGTGCTAGAGTGATATTATCCTAGATTTAAAAGACAAGTAGATAACTCCAAAATGAAATTTTACCTAAAAGAAAATCTATGCATTTTAAATAAAACTTCACATAAAGCGTATTACTTTATATTTCTACGATACAAGATGTTTAACACTTGTATTTTTTTTCTGGCAATGAAAAAAATAATCTCATATTTCACACTAACATATATATATATATATATATATATATATATATATATATATATATATATATATATATATATATATATATATATATATATATATATATATATATATATAAATGAGAAAATGACTTGCAAGGATAAATACATTTACGTCTTGTTCACACGTTTAGGTAATTTTTTATATATTTGACCATTTGATTTGTTAAATGTGTTCACATGCTTAGGTGACAATGATAATATGTAAACACATTTAACAAGTTAAATGGTCAAATGTGTATCCAAAAAACGTTGTTTAAATATGAACAAATTTTTTTTACAAATTTCTTAAAAAAAATTATAATTTTTTACTACATCTTTATGATATTTTTTTCCTATACGTTTCTCTAATACAATGTTTAGGTTTGTTTATAATTTTTTTAAAACTTTTTTTTTATACTTTTATATAATTTTAATACAAGTGCTTTTAAATCAAATATTTTATAAATGTTTTAAATTTTTATTACAAGTTTTTAACTTTTTTTTCATACAATTTTTTATAATATTCATACATTTATTTGTAAACTTTCTTTTACAACATTTTAAATATGTTTCATGGATGTTGTACGTCAATTTAATATTATTTTATATTGCATTTTAAAATAATTTTATTAAATATAAGTTTAAATATTGTATTAAAAAAATTAAAAGTTTATAAACTTCTAATTAAAAAGTATTAAAAAGTTGGAATAATTTTAAAACATTTACGTTATATAGATATTTTTTTTTGTTTTTTATTTGTTAGTTAATATTTTCTTTTTTCTTTTTTTAAAAACACTCAATATTTATTGTTACATATTTAATTTATTTAATTTTATTGTTAGATATTATTTACTTTAAAACTATTGTATATGCTTAAAAACAAAAGAAAAAAGTTATAAGAGGATATATAAAATATTTCACAAAACAAAAACATATTTATTAATTAAACATTAAAGTTTATAATTGATCGATATTTAACTAGTATTTAGGAAATAATAGATATTTTAAAAATAACATTTGAAAAAAAAATAATAAACAAATATGAAAAATAAAATCACTATTAAAAGTGGGGAAATGACTTATCAGGATACTTAACTTTTCGTTTTGTTCACGTTTAGACAACTTTCTTTTGTTGTATATATTTAACTATTTAACTTGTTAATTTGTTTACACACTATTACTATTATCACCTACTATAATCAGTGACAATGGCAATATGTGAACATATACAACAAGTTAAATAGTCAAAGGTGTACAAAAATAAAGAAGTTATCTAAATGTGAACTAAACGACCAAGATGATTACTCTGATAAGGTATTTTCCCAGGGTTCCTGATTGTTTGAGGATATGACTCATCTATAACGATGTTACTAAACAACCTATTTAAAATCGTGTACCAAATTTTAAAGAGATTTTTTGATAAATTGTTTTTTACGAGTAATAAATATTAGATTTTATTATTGGTTATTATGTAATAAAAAATTATAACTTTTAAATAAATTACTTATGTTTATACCTAATATTTATATTGCATGTTTATACTATTGATGTAAATTGATTAATATCGGTATCTAGTTTAAGAAATATAAATTAATTTATATACATTAATTTAATATTTTAAAATTTTCATTTTGCTTCAAATTGAGTTTTTTAATAACCTTCCTTAATTCATGTCTTCAAATTGTTGACAAATGTTAATAAATTATTTATGCATAATTGATTTGTACACAAAGCTTTGTAACTTAAACCTCTTACGTATGACTAATATGATTTGTGACATCACCATTTTTATGGTCATTTAAAAAAAATCTTTATTTAAAACAAAGTTTATTTATAAATGCATAATTTGGTCCTATAAAAGCATTTATGAAAAAATGTTTTTTATTAATTTATAAAATCTTATGTTGTCATAAATGATACAAAACATAAACATAAACAAGCCTTACAGTATCTTAGACTATCAGTCTACATCTCCTTAAATCTTTCATCATGCATGTAACTTTATACCACTGCCTATGTGTAGTTGTAATGAAATTGAGTTTGAATGATAAGATCAGAGTAAAGAATGATTGATGAACACAAGATCTAAATAATATCTAGTTTGGCCCCAGGTACATCGGTCCTTTTAGGGTTTTGGTCTGGGTCGGTCGGGTTGCTTATCGCTTAGATCTTCCCGAGGATCTTAGTCAGATCGATATCACGTTTCATGTTTCTCAGCTATGGAAATGTTTAGTAAATGATTATGTGGCGGTTCTATTGGAGGATATTCAGGTGGATGGTCGCCTGAATTATATCGAGAGACCTGTGGCGATTCTTGACTGGAAGATGAAAACCTTAAGGAACAAGGTTTTTGAGTTAGTGAAAGTCCAGTGACAGCATCGCAAAGGTTTATAATGGACTTGGGATCCGGAGGACGAGATGGGGGAGCACTACCTAAAGTTGTTTGGGGCAGCGAACTTCGAGGACAAAGTTTGATTCAAGTGGAGGAGAATGTAACATTCGTAATTTGTTAAGTTTCCTTTTAGCCCCTTAATTCAAAATCCTTTTCATTTTGGTCCCTAGCTAGTATACAAGGCATACTCTATGAGTACACTTAGCGTACATGCTCTTTTTTGGTCGCGGGCTTCACCCACATATGCTGGGTGTATGCATGGATTGGGAAAACCCTAATTTATAGGGTTCGTACTCTATTTAAACAACTTAAACCACCTTTGGACATTCTATTGATCATCTTCCATCATCCTATAGCCTAAAAACAAAACCCTGAGTGCCTCTTGTGTGTTTTGAGCTTGAAAGTGAGATTTGGTCGTGTTTTAGTGAAAGAAGAAGAATAAGAAGAACTCTTGGTGGTTGCTTGGGAGTAGCTTGGGCTTGTAGATCTAGATTCATCATCATCATTGCAAGCTATATAAGGTATAAAGTTCTCTACTTGATGGTTCATTATGCTAGATCTAGTTTTGCGACTTTATTTATGCATTTTTTTGGGTCTTTTGAGCTAGAGTTGAGCTTTTGATCTACTTCATAAGCCATGGATGTTAGATCTTAGCTCTATGGAGGTCCCTTATTCATAAAAATGCTTTATGAAAGATATAGGTCCATGCAAGTGTTAAGAGCCTTATTAAGCTTCTTTTTGAGTGTTGGGTCCTATTAAGTCATGCATGAGTTTAAAGTTGCCAACTTTACGTATTAAGTGACCCTTTAGGATCAGATCATAGAGTTTGACTAGATGTCTCAATTGATTAAGTGTTTAGTGGAGTGGATTGGTAGTTTGGGGAATACGTTGGGCATACCCAGCTGGTACGTTGCGCGTACTGACCCTGGAAGGAGAAAGCTAAGCGTACGAGCTGAGTATGCCCCGTGTACTCAGCAGGTGGACTTTTGGTTTGGATCTTATCTTGGGATTTTAAGGTTTGGGCCGTGCTCGGCCATTTAACTTCTGAATTTGGGCCATGGATAGACTATGAACTTTCTTTGGATTAGGTCCATAATGATTTTAGGCCTAATTTGGAAGTTGGGCCTTAATGGGCCTTGTTATGTTATTTAAGGAATTTGGGCGTTTTGAGTAGTTGGGTTGGGCCTTGGTTTTAGGCCAAGTAAGGAAAAGGGTAAAATGGCCATTTACCCTGGAAATTGGTCAACTAGCTTAGATTCTTTAATATTTGTCGAAATCCAACTATTAATTGGCTATTATTTGATGATGTCAACGCGAGAATTTCCGAACCAGCAGACTGAGAGAGATTCAACAGCTAGAGGTGAGTTTCCTCACTGTGTTTAGTGGGTCGAATGCACCAATGTCGGCCCATGGTTTTATATGTTGGGATGCTAGTTCTCTGTGTAACTGTTGCATGTGTTATGTGTTTATATGTTTACCGGGTAGGGCCCGCTGATTATCTTGTATGTTATTTATCTTTGTGATTATTGATTATATGTTTATTTGTTTATATGTATATCGGGCAGGACCCATTATATGTTTGATATGTATGGTATGTGGTATTTTGAGGAACTCACTAAACTTTATGCTTACAATTTTCAGTTTATGATTCAGGTACTTCTGGTTCGAAGGAGAATGACCCGGGATGATTGTAGTCACGAACCACACTGTTCCGCATTTTTATATTACTATGATATACTTTGATGT